TTTTGACAAGGGCAAACAAGAAAACTATAGTTTGGTTGCAGCCGGCGAGATTCGGATTAGATGTGACGAAGGATTGTTAGACTCCACGTATTGTGAGGCAGAGGGATGCATTACAGGGGCTTGGGGTGGGGGCAGAGTCCTGCTAAAGGCTTAGAGACAGCTCCCTTCCTGGAGTGATCCCAGACAGTTCTTCCGGGAGGACCCATCACCTGGAGGAGGGACGGAGAAACAACCTTCATTCAAAATGAGCCATGGCCCCGCCCTTCACTGGGGAAGAGCTACTTGGGTTTCTCCAGGAAGGGGGACAGAAAACCACCTCCCAAAGTTTAAAAGACACACTTAGCACCAGAGCGACACCGGCATCCTGGAGCTGGCCCTCCCCAGCCTGGCTGCCCATTAGCATCTCTGGGAACTCTGGGGTTAGATCAGAAAGCTTGGGGGGTAGGGCACAGGCATTGAGATTTTTTTTTTTTTTATATTTTATTTATTCATTTGCCAGAGAGAGAGAGATCACAAGTAGTCAGAGAGGCAGACAGAGAGAAAGGGGGGAAGCAGGCTCCCTGATGAGCAGAGAGCCCCATGCGGGGCTCGATCCCAGGACCCTGAGATCATGACCTGAGCCGAAGGCAGAGGCTTAACCCACTGAGCCACCTAGGCGCCCCAGGCGTTGAGATTTTTTAAAAGCTTTCTAGGCGTCTGGAAAGTGCATCCAGGATTGAGAAGGGCTCTGTGAGGACGAGTGGATATGTAAGACTCTCTTTGAGGTGTTTCTAGTGGTTCCAGCATTGGGTGGACCAGGCAAGTACAACTTGTCTACTTAAATGCCTTGTTGCCATTCCCGCCCTCCTCGGGGCTTGATGGCTGTGTTGGAGGATGAGCGCCCCAGGCATGCTACTGTGGAAGCCAGAGGCCCACTGGCTGGCTGGTAACCTGAAGGGGAGCCACTTCACCAGCCTGGTTTTGAGAGCCCAGGGGGACTCCCCTCCGGAGAAAGGCAGACTGTGTGATTCCATTGCTTGGAGTCCGGGTCTCCCCACTGCTGGTTACAAGCCTTGGATCCGTCTCCAGCTACCGCCGGGCGGAGTGTGGACAATTTCCCCAAACATAGGGAACCAGTTGTCTGCAGCACAAAGCAGACCCATTGTGAAGCCTCCTAACCGGGCCTGGGAAGGCAACCCAGGGCAGGGGTTAGGAATCACAGTTCTGCATTTGGACCGCCTTCGATTCGAGTCCTCCCTCTCCCTCCCTCCTATGGGCACGAGCTTTGTTTTAGTTAATTTCCATTTTGGTCTCCTTTATCTGTAGAACGAGGATAATGGTAGTGTCCGTCTCTTGTGATGATTCAGGGAAACGATCCATGAAATCCTTGGGATCGCGTTAGATTCAAGCTGCCTCTGTTTACTGTGTGGTGTGGGTGTGGCAGCAGAGGTGGGGGTGCTAGTGGGGAGATGCAGGACTCCTCCGCGACAGTGCAGTGGCATGGAGGGTCGAGGGGCAGGTGGGAGGGAGAGGCATCAGCCAGGACCCCAGGCTGGGGCTGACTGCCGCTGCTCCAAGTCTCAGGGCACACTCGCGGCGCCTTCACAGCTCCCGTCCCTGGTGGGGAAGGAGCGCACCCCTACTCAGGGAACCCCGTGTCTGCTCCACTTGAAGAGCCGGCCGAGTGGTCCTCTGGTCTTTGTCGTCATCATCCCTGGAGATTCTAAGACAATGTGGGGCGGAGCCAAGGAATCTGTGTTGACTTTAGAGTTCTCCAGGTGATTTCACTGCACAGACAGGTTCCAGAACGTTAGCTCAATCTTCCCAGTCCAATTACAAGGGGTCATAAAAGCGCCTCCTGCCGAGCCTGCTGGCTCAGTCTGGGTCTCGCCGCCGGGGATCCACCGCTCAGGAGCCCCATGAAACAGGCAGTTGGTGATCAAATATCTCCTTTTTAAAGAGCACTTGGGCCTTGATGTGAGATCAGAGGCCTAGCACTTAGGATCAGATTCAACAAGTATACGGAACTCTCAAGAGGGAGCGAGGCAAGAGGTGATTTGGGGACAGGGGAGATGTGGAAACAAGAACGGGACTTTGGGAGGCAGGCCAAGGGAGTAGGTATACCAGGAGGTGGAGGGAGGGCCCAGGATGAAAGGAGTAAGGATCCCGGAAGACAAGCCTGCTTCCTTAACCAGCTAAATACAACCGGGAAGCTGCCGTTGACAGGCACCTGCTGGTTGACAAGCATTGTGCCAAATATTTTAACACCTATTTGATTTTCCACAGCAGTCCTGCAACGGAGGCATTGCTAGCCCGGTCTGACAAGTACAGAAGTTAAAGTTTAATTACTTTGTCCAGGGAGATAATTGACAGCGCGGGGGCGGGAAGGCAGGCATTACAGCCCTAAAGGGAGGGTGAGGTTGGGCATGCAGGGCAAGAAGGAGCATCTTTGCAGAACAGCTCCAGCTGGTGACGAGGGCTCCTGTTGCCTTTGGTCCTTTGTTTTTCTAGACCTGGGCCTCTGCAGGCAGTTTCAGCCCAGGCCAGTCCTGAGGAAGGAAGGAGGGAGCTAACTGCCCCCTGCTCCCGCCCCGTGAGCACCTGCCACTGTGTCTAGGGATATTTTAGAACAGGGAGCTAACTAAATGTTGTCCTCTGCTTCTAGCAATGGCATGTGGTTGTCACCAGTGGGAAATCTATCGAGTAACCCAGCCTGGTCTGCATCACCGAACTTGTTCCCCCGACGTTTGCATGCTGTCTTGAGCCTGCACAGACCCTGCTGGGGCCCTGAGGCCATGATCCCTCGCCCCATCAGCCCTCCTCCCTGTAAGCTGGGCTCTGTCTCCTGCGCTGCTGCTGTTCTGATAGAAGGATCCCTTGTAGATGGAATGTCACTGCTCTTTTGGCTTTAAATCTGTGTTTCCTGGAACTTTATGCTGCTGTCTCCTGTCCCCTGGATTTTATCACCCGGGGTTGCCAAGCTTCTCTAAATAGTATAAACAAGGCTGTAGACTCTCACAGAAGCCATCCAACATTCAATTCATTCATTCATTCATTCATTCACTCACTCATACATATTCACTGAGTTCTTTCTATGCAGAAGGTGCTGAACCGGCAGGTGGCTAGGACCTGGGAATGTAATGGTAAATAGAACAGTCCCATGTTCATGAAACTTAGAGTAACTTGACTCTTGAACAACGTAGGGGTTAGGTTCACCAATTCCCATGCAGTAGAAAATCTGCGTATAACTTTTTTTTTATTTTTAAGGTATACTTACTTATTTGAGAGAGCGAGCATGAGAGCACAGCGCAGGGGCAGTGGGAGAGAGGAGCAAGAATCTCAAGCAGACTCGGAGTGCAGAGCCCCACACAGGACTCGATCTCGTGGCCCTGACATCATGACCCAAGCTGAAATCAAGAGTCCGGTACTTCACTGACTGAGGCACCCAGGTGCCCAGAAAACCTATATACAACTTTTGGGCCCCCAAGAACATAACTGCTCATAGTCTTCTGTTGACAGGAAGCCTTACCAATAACCAAGTAGGACATTAACACATATTTTGTAGGTTATATATTCTATACTGTACTCTTGCAATAAAGTCAGCCTAGAGGAAAGAAAATGCTGTTAAGAAAATCACGAGGAGGAGAAAATACACTTACAGTATTGCACTGTGTTTATTGGGTAAAAAACTCTGCATACAAGTCGACCTCCACAGTTCAAACCTGTGTTGTTCAAAGGTCAACCGTATAAGCTCCTAGAGAAGGCAGCAGGGGTACCTAGTCTCACGGCTAAGGGAGAGTCTCTGCGGGTGTGTATTTAAGGTGGGATGGGTTATCCAGACAGAGATGGGGAGGCAGAAGATTGCAGGCCTAGGGAAGAGTGTGCATGATGACTAGAAGTAAGGTTTGGGGGGCGGGGGGCCACGGAAGAACCTGGAAGAGGGGGAAGGAAAGGGAATTTCAAGCAGGCCCCACACCCAGCCTAGAGCCCAACACATGACCCTTACATTATGATCTGAGCTGAATTCAAGAGTCAGATGCTTAACTGACTGAGCCACCCAGGCACCCCAATGTGTTACTATTTTTTTTTAAAGATTTTATTTATTTATTTGACAGAGAGAGATCACAAGTAGGCAGAGAGGCAGGCAGAGAGAGAGGAAGGGAAGCAGGCTCCCTGCTGAGCAGAGAGCCCGATGTGGGACTTGATCCCAGGACCCTGAGACCATGACCTGAGCCAAAAGTAGAGGCTTAGCACACTGAGCCACCCAGGTGCCCCGTGTTACTATTTTTTAAGCACAGGTGTCACACTGGGGCATGAGTATCTAGCTGCCTTTCTCTCCCCACCAGCCTTTGGATTCTATGAAGTCCCTATCTACATTCTCAGGACCCAGGACAAAGCACATAGTAAATGCTCAGTAAATGCTGCACTGAGCTCAGTGGAGCCAGGGCCCCAGCCCTGGCCTTGTCTGGTGCCTTTCCTTTTCCCAGCAGTCTGGTTCCCAGTTTGTATCCGGAACTTGCTTGAGTTATGGCAGAACTCTTCTAGTTAAGAACAAGGCAGCAGTACCCGTGAGGACCTCTTAGTATCTCAGTACACCAGTCATTCAGATTTTGGTAGCTACAAAGCATATCTGGGCAAAACTCTGAGGACAAGGTGAGAGACTGTTGACATCGAAACCCGCTCTCTTTCCTTACTTGCCAGGAAAAACTCTGTAGGCCATTGGTTTTTTAGGTCCTGTGTCCCACAGGATCTAGAGGCAATTCATTTTCTAACAGTTCTCTACCAAAAAAAAAAAAAAAAAAAAGCCGAGAATTTTAAGTCATGTTTATGAAGCTATTAAGAAAAACCACGTGCTTCATAATGAGCTTCTAAAAATCTGTTTCCATGTTCCATTCTCCTTGGCTTTTAGTGGGTCTGAGAAAATCTGGAGCAAGGCTGTTTTCAGTGCATCTCGCTATCTCTGCTACCAGGTGTCCCTTACCTCAGTCACACAAATGACTTTCCATTTCTTACGCTCCCAGATGGAATCACAGCCCTCCTAGACCCCGTCTACCCCTCCCAACCTCCTGATGGACACACACAAAGGAAACCCAGCCTGCCCAGGAAGCTGAGGCTGTCGGTTTCCACACTGGGCGCCTCCAACTCCCTGTTTCACTGCTTTCCGAGAACAAGCAGTGTGGCAGGGTGGAAAGAAAGTGACCTTTGAGGTTGGAAATTTCCTCGGCTTTGACATTTACTAGTGGAGTGATTGTGAGCAGGTTATTAGACTTCTCTAAGCCTCCGTTTTATTACCTGTGAAAGAAATGGCATTTCTACCTCATAGTAATGAAGAAATACAGTCAGAGGCTCTCGCCTCTCTGTTCAGCTATGGATATGTATTCCTGAACACCTAGGCTGTGTCTTTCTTCTGAATCCCTGCTCAGCGCCGCTCACCTGAAGGTCCTTGGAGGCCCAAGGCCTCAAACAACAAAGGCCACAGATCTGAAAGCCCTGAAGGCTTCTGGAGGACCGCTAAGACCTTGAAACTTTAGTCCAGGGCTTCCAAGAAGGGGGAGTCCAAGGCTGGATGAAATGTACAAGGACTTTGTTAAGGGCAATGTCTGTATGAGAGACAGGGGAGGGGAGGCTAGGAAGGACTCAGAAGAAGGGTTCTTGGATCACAGATCGAGTCTGGCCAGAGGTAGGAAGGTTGGGGAAGGCATCCTAGAATTCTGTGCCATCCAAGAAAGGTCCGGCAAGGCTGTCAGGGAGTCTTTGAGGCAACGCTGCTGTCAAAGATGGCCAGCATGTCCCAGGAAGAGCCCGCCTTATTATCCCCACTCCACTCAGTCCCTCCCTGGGAACAGCCCCTGAGAGGCATGTCTCCTTTGCCCCACTGCATTTCAGAATATGGTAGCTGGGGCCCTGGTCAGTGGTGCTCCGTGTCCCTCCTAAAGCAAAATGAGGCAGTGATATAAAGGACAAAGATGCATTTCCTTGTCTCGAGGGTTAAGTATTATTCCACTACTTTTCTAGCCACTGGGAAGTTTCTGTAAAATAGAAGATTGGGAATTGTTTGGTTTTATTGTGGAGTGGTCCCGTCTTTAATATTATAATATGAATCCTCATGGTCTCAGAGAATTCTAGAAGGTCAGAGCTGGCATCACATTTTAGAATTTCCTCAATCCCATCTCTTTGAAAGGGAGTCAGTCCATGGGTCAAGATTCTGTTGCTCAGCCCCACTCTTTCTGGGAATGAAGAGTCAGGGCCACTGAAGCCCTAATTAAGTGCCCTTGTCTGTGGTTCTGCCCTTGACTCTAAGTCTCAACTTCCTTCCTGATCATGTTCTACATCCAGTGTGATTCAACCTAGCTGTGAATTAGCTAGAATTATCCAAGGAGCTTTTTCATAATATACACGGACAGACCCCTTTAATCAGTGTCTCGAGGTTGGGGGCGGCACAGAAATCTGCATTTTCAAAAGCTCACTAGAAGATTCTCATGGTCAGCCAGGTACGCAAACCCTGATGAGGCCCATCAGTCTCTCCATTAAGGAAGATGGTGAAGACGGTGGAAAAATTTACCAGCTGCACTTGAATTCCAACTCAGGTTTTCTTCCTTGCTTGGAAACTGTGCTTCCTCTTAGCAGTCACCTTCCTTACATCTGACCATGCGTCTTTCATGGCTCGGGCTCTTTTGCAGGTGTCATGACAGGCCTACAATCACGGAGCTAGATGGTTCCTTCTGCACGGACCTGACCCTTGGCACCCCCAGAGGAAGGCAGTTGAGGCGTCTCTCTTGCATGTTTTCAGAGGAATCTTCACTAAAGATCCAAGCGTTTGGAAAGCTTGTTACCCTCTCTCGGGAGATGAGAGCAATCTTGGCCACAAGGTCAGTAGCACATCCAGTCCAAAAAGACACTCAAAGGAATGTGACACGAAAATGCATATGGAAGCAGCCCAATCAGCTCACCTTCCACGTGCCCTCCTACGGTTGTACTTCTGCCCGACAGGTGCCCTGCTGACCTCAGAGAACTGTCCTCAGCTCCCCGAGAGCTGGCAGCCTATTGCTAGTTGTACGGAACTCTTTTCCAGAAGCCCTCATTCCCCAGGCCCCTTTGAAATCTTTGTAGATCTGGCTTGGTACCCTCCCCAGCACAACCCCCTGTTCACCTGAACCGCCCCCGCCCACCTTCCTGTCTCCTCTCCTTCCTTCTCGGATCCCGTGGTGGCCCTACCTTCTCCCTGCCTCGAAGTCTGGAGAAGATGCTGGCCCAGTGAGTTTGGCGGCATGACCACATCACTGCTCCATTCCTCTCCGGCCCTCCACCTCCCCCAGCCCAGGGGGGCTTTGTCTCTCTCCCATGTCACAAGCTGCGTCCATTGGTGACAGAGAAGAGAAAGGGCAGTCTTCTCATGGAGTTTAGCTTTGTTATTACTCTTCCACTTAGTGACCTTGTAAAGTTAGTGTCCTACCATGCCATCACATCCAGATGTTTCATTCACTTGTAGTTACTTGTAATAGAAAACTGCCCCCTGCTCCCCCACTTCCCCCAACTTCGCACAAGTTCCCTCAGGATCTGCAGGATCCGCGGATGATACACATCCCTTGTCCATCTCAACACTGAGCCTCTCCACTGGACCTGGCGAGGACCCCTGACTGGGCGGTGCATTGTGACGAGCTCCTGTTGGGGTGAACTTCCTTTGGTCTCAAGGATTGAGAAGTCTCATTTCCTTTCTTTGAGAGAGCGTCAGCCCAACCGGAATGCCAGGTGCCTCCCCAGGTCAAACCTTAAGGTGCTGTCACCCAGAAAGATAGGGAGAGCCGGCTCTCATGAAGGGTGGTGCCGCCTGACCCTCTGGATGAAGACTGAGTAGACAAGGCTGAAGTCTGAGGTTAAGGGCTTGGCTCTCACTGTGCTTGAGAAATGGCTGTGCTATGCCAGGAGGAGTCAGTAATTGTCAACAGGCTTTAGAAAACAGAATTATGGGTCTGGCCAGGGGAAGAGGAAATAGTGGGGGCACTCAAGGGGACTGACATTCTGTTGCTGCTCTGCCGTAGGCATGTGATGTGTCAGTCATTCAGACGTCTCTTCTAAGCCTGGGCAGCTCACGAGAAAGGAGACAGGCAGTGCCTCGGGCCTCTTGGAGCCAAGAGTCAGGGGACATCGACTGTCTCTGGGCCACTCTTTGCTCTCCTGAGAACCGTGCTGAATGACGGAAAGCCAAGTAAGTGGCTCTTTCTAAAATGTTTTGAGTATGTGGGAGACAAAGTTTTATTTTGCTTTATCAGTTACGCCCTCTAATGCCCTGCAGGCTGGGACAGCACAGTGTTGAGATGCTAACGGAGATGCAAAAGGAAAAGATAAGTAGGTAAATAAGTAGGTAAAAAACAAGTAGGTAAATAAATAGGTAAAAAAAAAAAAAATCTAAACACATCAGGGACAGGGCTGACCTGTCCCTGATGTGTTTAGATGGGACTGTTGACATAACCTCCCACAGCTCTGCCGTCCTCAAAGTACACTCATTATTCATTCATTCGGGCAGTCATTTATTAAACATTCTCAGTATGCTTACTGTATGCCAGGCACAGAGTTAAGTGCCAGGAGCTCAAAGTCAAAGAAGACATAAGCCTTGACAGACTTGACCCTGATAAGCTTGAGTCCAATAATTGGGTCCGCCGTGTTAAATACACAAGTGGTGGGCAGAGGGATGGATGCTGTAGTGAAGGCAAGTCCGGGATACAGTAGGACACAAAAGAGAGGTTGCCTGTTCTACCCAAAGAAGTCAGCATCCCTTGAGCTGGGTGGTGGTTGTTGATTTTTTTTAAGTATTTATTTATTTGAGAGAGAGAGAATGAAAGAGAGCATGAGAGGGGAGAGGTCAGAGGGAGAAGCAGACTCCCTGCCGAGCAGGGAGCCCAATGTGGGACTCGATTCCGGGACTCCGAGATCATGACCTGAGCTGAAGGCACTTGCTTAAACCAACTAAGCCACCCAGGCGCCCCTTGAGCTGGGTTTTGAAGGGTACGTATGAAGTCGCCAGGCAGCCAAGAAGTAGGGACCAGGGACACCTGAGCAAACAGCAAGACATAGTAGAGAAATGACAAGTATGTTTGTAAAGCTGGAGTATGAAGAATGAAGATAGAGTATGAAGCATGTGGAGGATGAGGCGATGGATGGGAAGATAGTGTTTAGGGGCATAAAGAGGGCACAACAGGTTATGATTAATGGTGAGAATGTATGAAGAGTGTGCAATCAGAATTTAAGAGACTAACATGCCATGAAAAAGAGTTTGGAATTATCCTATAGATCATGTTGAATCACTGATATTTCTTAGATAAGGCAAGGACATAATCATGTTTGTATTTTATAAATGTCTTATAAATCATAATATATTGTATGAAGTTCCCTCTGGTAGCACTGAGAACAGGCTGAAGAAAGGAGTGAGACTAGAAACAAGGATGCCAGATGTATTTGTCAATTTTTCCAGTTAACAGTCGCAAAAACACAGTTTAAACTAGCTTGCGCTGAATATATAGATAAAGAGAGAGAAAGCCCTGTAGTCGGTTGGAAAAGTTTCAGGCACAGTTGGATCCAGGAATGCAAACAAGGCCATCAGATCTCTCTCCACCTCTGGATTCTGCCAGTTTTCTCTTTTCTTCATGTGTTACATTCCATCACACTATAGACAGATTGTATCCACATGCCAGGAATGATGGTTGCTGGAACCCTCAAGACTGTATCTTGATTCAGAAGTGAAAGAGAGCGCCTTTCCTCCAGAATCCTTCTATCAGACTTCATGGAAGCGCTCTGATTGGCTCTGTATGGAACATATTTGCCCCGAGGACACCATGATTGTCCAGGTCTTAGTGATGCCCCAGCCCTATGGATTGAAAGGATACTTCCCTAAACTTCCCTAAAAGAAAAGCTGGTCCAGTTATCAAAAGAAGGAGGAACTGAGGGTATATAGGACGGACAAAATTACATCTCCCACAATCAACTTCATTTAGATAAAAGCTAATCAAGAACTGGGCTTGTGGAAGAAGGGATAGATTCAATAACTTCTTTTTTTAAAGATTTTATTTCTTTTAGAGAGAGAGAGAGAAATTGAGAGAGAGAGCATGTGAGGGGAGGGGTAGAGG